AGATTGCTCTGGCTAAATTAGAAAGGGTCCCCTGGCAACTCAAGAAAAATAAGTAATTCTCCCCATCACAGGCATGCATCAAGTGCAGTGAGTGGCACAACTGAGAAATCTAGATGACACATTACAGGAAAAAATCCCCAAACAACAAAACATCTCCTTACCTACTTGACTAAGGATTAGCAAAGTAATTTAAAGCAGTAGAGTAAGACAAGATCTAGTCTTAGAAATCAATACAAGAACATATACTCACAAGAAACGAAAAAATAGTATTTAATTGTATCAAAAGACATATTACAGCTTAATGGAAAACTTAGGCAATTTTTGCAGTGTAGCTTTTGCAAAATGGGCACATGAATCAATGAAGTGCCTTCATTCATAAGGCCTTAAAATATGTGGGTATTTTGACCATTTAGAACTAAAGAGGGAACACTGAATGCACTGGTACCAGTTTGTTATTGTCACTAGGAAGCACAGAAAGCTCTGTTACAGGTCATTACCAGTTAGCAACCATTCCTCTGACTTTATCAGCCTGCTGCAACAGAGGACAGAGCTGCCTCTGCTCAGGCTGAGACAACCTCCCCAAGAATTACACATAGTGCCAGTGCTCCATCATCCCAAACCAACCACAGCCCCCCTAGTCTGGGCAGTTCTGCCTTCCAATCCCTACAATCTAAGGAGACCCTTCCCAAAACAGGTGCATTCCAGCACAGCAGCAAGTTTTGATGTCTGCGAGGATGCCTCAAAGTGCAGACTTTACCTGACAAGGTATTTGAAAAAAGGTATTTCCAATTATCTTTGGAAATATTGTGAGGCCCCCCTGAGGGGCAAACAGCGTGGGACTCAGCACAAACACAGTCCTCTCAAAGATTTAAATGAGCTTCAGCTTTGTCCTCACAGGTGACATTCAGATAACATAAACTTCTTCACACTCCAGCCAGGCTAAGCCTGTGCCAAGCCACCCTATAGGAATTCCCTGTAACAGCTCCTAAGGACTGGCCAAAACTTGTAGTACAAAATCAAAGACAACACTCTTCAGGAAATGCAAACCCTTTCCTGGGGTAGTTCGAAAGGCATTTCTAGCACAAACAACTGTTTGTGCCTGATAAATCCTGTGACAGGATGTTCAGTTTAGGTTACTCTTCTTCACCCTGATGGATAATTTAAATTAAAATCACTGTCTATTCAAGAAAAAAAGAATAGGTCTTAATATAATAATAGCAAGTTAATTTTCATTATACTCTGATATGATAAAAGAATGGGTTTTTATCACAGACATAACTATCTGCAATGCAAAGGATTTTCCACAATACATTTCTAACAATTACATCTCCCCTTATTTAAACACTTTTACTTTAATATTCAAAACAGGCACTTACAAACTAATTTTTGACATGACTTGCTGACTGGGAGTGAATTAAGAGACAAAATACAGGGCATATCAGAGAATAAGACAAGAAGAAATCCTCTGTTGTACATATGTAAGCACAGGAGAATAAATTTCATATGGTTGAGATTAGGCCCAGCTTGTAGTACAGCTACAGCCTCGCCCTTCTCATAATTTGACTTTTTCATTGTTATATTTTACCTGTAAGACAGAAAGATGGTAAAAAAGCCACAGAACATGACTGATCAGAGGTAAATAGTAGGCTGCTCCCCTTCTAATAAGAATTAACTTTTTCACCTGCTAGGTAAAGGTTGAATACTTATGCCTTGGACTATGGAAAACAGCATCACCAAGGTAAGCAGAGAGAACTCAGTATTCATTTAGTCACTGGAGTTTAAAAACCCATGGTAAGCAAAGGACAAACATGAAGATTTGACATGACAGGAACATGACAGGTCCTTTTACTGTTTGCCATCCATTTTAATTTCTTCATTATGAGCTTGCCAAAAAAGAGCAACCAGAGACTTCAGCACAGGGTACAAATCAGTTCTGTTCTTTGTACCCTTCACCAATGGTATAATGAGTGAAGGCTGAGATAACATCCACAAATCACTTCAGTCTACTCTTTTTCTTTTGTTCTCTCAAAAACTATCCTTCATGCTAAAACTTCCAACAATCTTCTTATAACTCCAAGTTTAATTCAAAAAATATTTCTAGAGAGATGGGGAAATGGGAGACTGTTTTGTTTAATCCTGTGCAACAGTTTATGATCATAAGACAACATTATCCAACTCTAAAACTCAGAGGAACAGGGCAAGCCAGGATACAGTTGACCACACTGGAAACTGTGCCATTATGGTTCACAATCTCACCTTGTAAATGCTCAATGGGATATTTAAACAACCACAAATGTCTAGGAATTTGGGGTTAATCAAAAGAAAAAATAGCTCACACATACTAGTTACAGAATGTTTAACTGTGTTGAGGGAGAATCCCATGAGCCTGGCTTGAAATAAGTCTCAACCCCAACACAGGCATCTGGGCTCTGGAAAAGTCAGACCAAACTCATTCCACAGGAAATGCTACCAAAGAAAGCTGGGCAGTTAAAAACTGTCAACAAATATGCAGAAAACCCATTCAGAATTACAAGGAAAATACAAGAGCTCAGGAAAAGCTAGGCACAAACTAGGGCCAGACTCTATTGCATTTTCCTCTTCACCGTGCAGACAGAAAAATTAAAGTCATCCTAAAGAAAACTTGAGTGTATACAGCTGTCAAACTAAGCACTTTTCCATCCATCTTGATGAACACATACAACCACTTTTAAAGCCTTTTCCCCTTCTTCCAGGAAGTTTGCATCACTGGGGCTGGTCACGCAACATTTAGAGCCCTGTACACATGAACCAGCGCCACTCTATAAAAACTTCCCCAAAGATTAACTCCCTGCCCAAAGCCAACCAGTGTATTATTTGTATGAGCAAGAAACCACTCCTTCTCCACAATATTCCTACGGGAGAAGTGCATGGCCCAGTTCCTGCCAAAGTATGACTATGCCTGTGCTTAGCACTGTGATTCCTTCTTTTTCTAAGACCCATCTGTCTTGTATGGAAGCTGCTGTTTGCTGCAAGGGTGCAAAGCTGGTGAAAAAGTGGGTGAAAAGTATATTACTCATGCTGGGGAGGAGTATATATTCCCTCTCTTACCCTCATCACCTTTTCTGGACTGAGCGAAGGGATCTGTGCTGAATTCAATATCCTGGCACTAGAGAGAGGGGTAGAATTGCAGTGGCACTGTGGAGCTGGAACTGGGAGGGTTGGTGTGGCTCTCATGAGGGTACCACCCTGGAGCACAGGCAGCACAATGCTATCCATGTTTAGTGATGTTGGTGACCTGCACATTCAGAATTTCACTACTTACCCAGTGCTATTTAATATACACCTGTCTGGAGGTGGACTTGTTCCTTTTTCAGGTCCTCTCTTCAAAATCAAACACCAACATTCTTCATTTGTTATAATATTAACTTCTGATAAACATTTATTCATGTTAATGGGGAAGAAATAGGTAAGCTGAAAGATGAACTTGGATAGATCCATAAAACTACTTAATGGGTGGGGTCTAGCCTCGGTCTGACTATGACCGAGTTTCAGCCAGGAATGTAGCATGGTCCCAGATGTGATGTTTCCCTTAACACTGCTAGTGATTTGTGCTTTTTTACTGTTCTCTGTATTGGGAAGCAGCTGTGGCTCACAGCTGCAGTTCTTGCTGTGAGGGTAACACAGAGTCTGGCTGATGCTGAGCACTTCAAGTCTATAGATCATGATAAAATTACACAGTGGAACTTGCCAGAAATAGTAGGCTGCAATTAAAAGGATATATAGTACACTTCACAAAAACTTAACAGCATAAATTATTGTTCATAGAGACATATTGCTACTTTACTGACTACTGATACCATTCGCACCTTTTGGCTCATGGATATTTTGCAGATGCACACATCTGTAGCATGCAGTTATCACAGTCCTGACTTTTCTCAGGTTTTCTCTGTACATGGAAAACTGCACGCATGCATATCATGTAGCATACACTCAGACAGATGTCACCACCAAATAATATATCCCGCTGAAGAACAACACTGCAAACAGTCTTTTATCCCAGCTCTCCTACCCATCTTTACACACAAAATGAAAGTTGACATTTTGAGCTGATCTGATTTCTGAAGCCTTTTTTATTTAGAAGCCTTCATATGACATAAAAGTATCAGGTCTCCATTTGACAGAGTATCAGGTTGACTCATATCAAGTTAAACTCTCCTTCAGGCTAAGAACAAAATACCCTGACATGTTGCCACACAGAGTTAGAGTGGCAAATTCCCCAGATTATAAAACATCTGTTGAAAACCAGTTCCCTCGCACAAGGGCTATGTTTCTATTTCTGTTACTCTTTGCTTCCTTCTCCTCTGCATATACTTCACATTTCTCTGCAGTTTGATCTCTGATATCCCCTTTTAAGCTATCCTAGCATCCCAAATGCATATGGTACTAGAATATACATTTGTGGATTTAACTTTTCCAAAAAGTCTTACTTATTATAAGAGCAAGTAAAAGGAGGGGTAATTTTTTATAGTGAGAAGCATTTAGAGCAATACTGCACACTCTGACACATTAAGGTTTTAGAGAGGAGGAAAGGCATCGGGCTTGTCATCTATGTCAGTGCTCTCTATTTAAGACTAACAATTACAATGCAGTCTCTCATCTGCACAGCCTTTTGTGAACTGACACACAGCTCATTTGTTTCAATGATCAACTAAAGCACATTATGAGTCAATCAGTTCTAAGGGAAAATAAGAGCCCATACCTAAATTCATTTGCTGCAAGCAGATGGCGGATTGCTTTTCTGTCCCTTTATGCTGCAGTCCTGTTCCCTTAGATCTTCTCTACTAAGAGGGGGACATACCGGGAGGTCAGCTTTCTGACAAGGTCATCTGCCTCCAGAGTATGAAGAGAATTGCACAGAAAGTGGGTTGGGCTATATTTAGAGTTTGGTCCAACTCCGTGCCAAGGTCCCCCCCACTGTCTCTCTCTTGCAGCACCGTCTCAGGTTTATTCTTGCAGATTCTCAGCCCACAGAACACACGAGAATAGGAAAGGCGCTCCGAGCTACTGCTGGATCGAGGTTTTTTTGCAATTTGCTAAAAACAAGTGGATCAGCAGTTCAGATGAGAACTCCTTAAATCACTCACTCTTCCAGTCCTTATCTTTCTTTATTTAAGTGGATTTTCCCTTTTCAGTTGAATAAGGGAAGGAAACTGCCTGGGATAGAGCAAAAAGACTCTCCTGAGCTAAGGTAAGGTTGCTTCATTTTTGTATTGTCATTGTAATTACAGCTCAATTAATGATTTGGATCAGATATGCTTCTTCTGCTACACCAGTTTTGCATGTCAGTATTAAGGGTATTTTTGGATAATGAAATTCTCAATGTAAAAATATAAATTCTCATTATCACTGTCTATAAGAAATGGGAAACTAAAAGGGTATCAGCATGTGTAAGAGAATATATACTCTCTGATTTTTACCTGCTTAAATTACTGTAAAAACCACACAGCCATGCCAATAGACTGTATCATTCTGAAAATGAGAGAACCCCAAATGTGTGGCTATATGCACATGATTACATAGACAGGCATGCAATTAGATGTGCTGAGTGATGTTTCAGCCACATTCTTTTGCACAATATGAGCAAGCATGGCAGCAAGTTTGTGATATAGGGCTTGCTGCAAATGGCACAGATAGAGTAAAAAAAAATAAAATTACTAAATGAACACGTGCTCAAATCCCTTTATAGTTCCAAAGTTGCTCAGCTCCAGAGTACAGGCAGTATTACAGATCATATTTTATTTGGTTTCCTTTCCACTGTATGCCATGCACTGGTTCAGCATTGCTTCTCTTTTTAAAAACACATATGGCTCAACAATTTTCCTCATTTTAAACTGTTGTGATTCTTAAGGGAAAACACCTCTGGACAGAATACATCATTGCATACCTGCCTGTTAGGAGATCCTAACACACTTCAGGTCACAGGGCCATCATGATACTGTACTGTGCATCCAGAATGAGGAGAATGTTGTCGTGTAAAGACACTCTGGAGCCATGGATTAAGCACTGGCACAGACACACACTTTCTAATGCAACATGATCTCAGCAAGACCACAGGAATGGCAACATGAAAAAATTGGGTAGGAAGGTCCACTTGACCCAAAGGTCCAAACACTTATGGGACAGCACCAACTCACACTGCACAACATAATCACTGTGTAAAAGCCTTAGCAGAAGCAACTAAACAAAGGCAGACAGATTCTGCATTACAATTCAGCAAAGAGCAAGAGAAGTCACTGTGAGTTCAGCTAAGGTGACTGGGTGAATTCCTGTACTTATTTCAGGTTGTCTTTTCTTAATACAGCTCCTGGTTAAACAATGCCATGCATCAGGCTATTAAACATTCCAAGTTGGCAAAAGTCTTATCTGCTGAAAAAACTTCTCATTTTGCTCACTCTCAACTATGTATATCTTCTCATCCTTTGCTTCTGATTTGGCTTAGTAATTTATGCTTGGAGTCTTGAGTGTTAAGTTTATTTGACAGAAGAAATAAACACAATCCATTTCACACAAAATACCTTCCTAGCAGTGCTAAGACTGTTTAACAAATGAAAATGATGGTAGCATGCCATGGAACCAACTTGGACTGTGTTGCATGTGATAACTCTGATTCATCCAGAAGGTTTATATTGTGAGAACTTGAGGAAGAGGCTGTTAAAGGAGGGTTAATGAAGTACTGCAAATGCATTTATCAAATTTATCAGCAAGTAAACGGCATCAGTATAAAAGCATCTAGTGCAGTCTAAGATCTGAACAATCTCTTATTAAGAGTAGTTTTACACTGATAGAAAAGGGGAAATATACATCTTTATAAAGTTTCAATGTTCAGGCTTTGCCTAATGAATCAACTTAGTTTTTTTATTACGCTTTGTGATACTATTCTCCATTTGCACATGGGAAAATATTACTTACTCCCCCATCAATATTAAAGACAGCAGGGATGTAGGGTTGGCTTAAAAAAAAGCAGTAGTGCTGTGACTAAGCTTACTAAAGCAGTGCTCCCAAACACCCCCTGGCAGATGGACAGGACACTGCTGTGTCACAGTGGCAGACAGGACTGGCTTGTTTTGAAGGAAGGGTCATCACACCCTCCCCACAGGAGCTGAGCCTAAAATGTGTCTGTCACCCAAACTGGTGGGAGGTTTGTTGACATGGAGATGACAGGATGGCAGCTTTGGAAAATGGCAGTATGATGATGAATATGGGCATGGCATTACCAGAAGAAGCTAGAAATAAGCACATCTGAGAGAACAGGCTTCATATTTTAAGGCAGACAAACCTCAATCTGTTTCTAACCTCTTTCTGGAGCCAATCCTACTTGGTGGGTTCTTCCTCTTCCTATTCTCTCCTCATAAAACTCCATTAAAAATTCCAGCACCATGAGCTAGCTTTGCCTTGCTAAGGTGTGGTCTCCAATGGGCACAATATGTCCATTCTAGTGGAGACCACTATACAAGTGAAAAAAAATTTTAAAATAGTAAATTAAAAGGAGGAAATTTATTTTTTTCTTCTCTCATGTAAGAAAGACAGACTAAAACCCTTCATTTCTATTAGAGGAGCTGATGGGGCTGAAACCCACCTTCCTCCCTTGTGGTGGGAGGGCATGGCCATACATATTGAATGACATGTCCAAGGCTGTGGAGGAGGAGGAAGGGAAAAATTGGCTGATGATGTATGCTGCCAGCTGGCCAGGCAAAGCTCCAAGAGGACATTCACTCACTCCTTGCTTTGGCACTGTCCCTCTCAGCTGACAGGTGTAAGCAGGACCAGAGCCAGAAGGGTAAATCCAAACAACGCCAGGAGGACAAGTCCCACCAGCAGTCAGATCCCCTGCTCCTCTCACCGTATTTACCTTCTGCCTTGGGGGCTTTCTTCTGGTGCAACCAAACAACAAACAACCCTGGGATTTTAATCCCTCCCTGCCAATCTGAGCAGACAGAAACAAGCTGGGATTTTGGGGAGAGTCAAAGCATACCTCACCAAAGATCTTTAACAAGAAGTCCTGCCAGGTGCCATAGCACCAATGCTACACGGCTCTGCAGAACCCAAAACTCATCTCCACCCACCACCATCAATGCAGAGCTGGTGAGGAGAGTCAAAGCATACCTCACCAAAGACCTTCAACAAGAGGTCCTGCCAGGTGCCACAGCATCAATGCTACACGGCTCTGCAGTCAACCTGCAGAACCCAAAACTCATCTCCACCCACCACCATCAATGCAGAGCTGGTGCTGCAGCTGGCATCGAGGCAGGGACACACAAAAGGGGCTTGGAAGAGTGTGAGAAAGTTAAAGGTAGCTCTTGGAGTCAGTCTGTGAGTACTTGGGTACAGCTCTGTGTGCATACCTGCATAAGGGAGGAACACACAACTTGGTATGAAGACAGGTGGCTACAACTGCTGAAGGAGCTCTGCCTTAAATCCTACACTGAGATTTTCTTTCAAAACCTTTAGACTATTGCCACAACTTCTGAGTATACTTTCGAGGAAAGGATGAACAATGATATGACAATATATGCTGGATAGGAAAGAGAGATACTTTATAGACACAGAAAAATTTAATTATTTTTAATAATTAAAAAAGCTTTAATTAAACAAACAGCTAATTGAATAATTATAGTCATTCAGTTACACAGTACCTTCCCCTAAGACTTACTAGTAATAAGGACAGGGAAAGAAATCAAAGTTCGCAGAAAAATTTAATTCTTTTTAATAATTAAAAAAAAACATTTAATTAAGCAAACAGTTAATTAAATAATTATAGTCATTCAGCTAAACAGTACTTTCCCCTAAGACTTACTAGTAATAAGGACAGGGAAAGAAATCAAAGTTCCTACTCACATCCAGGCACATAACCCCAACCTTTGTCTGACCTGCTTTCACAAATCCATCTTTCAAAAATAGGAAGGAAAAAACTCCAACAACACAACTTTTCCATAGGGCGCCCTGCTGGTAGAGTGATAGGTCTTTGCAGAAAACTGTCTGCACTGAGGAGAGGAACAGACTCATCATCTGCATTTTCTTTCAGTCTGATAGAAGTGTTGGGACTGATGGAAAGATCTCCAACACTGGTTTTCATGTTTTGCATTACAGAATATCACTTTCAGCTATGGCAAATTGAGTGTTGTCTACTCAAAGCACAATAAATCTTCATGCTTACAACTAAGCAAAGTAAGGCACAGGACAAGAAATGCCCTGGAACAGTGAGGTACTCCTCAGGCCTGCAGCACCACACTGCTTGGCAGCTGCAAATGCCAGCTCTAAACTCAGGAAAACTGCAGGCAGACCACAATCTGCTACACCCACTGCCCTACTCCCAGACAACTTTGTGGTCCTACTCAGCACAATTTTCTGGCTCTCAGTCCTTACTTTGGTGATTATTCAGGATGGGTATACAACCCATTCACGCCAGAAGATGAAGCTCGTCAACTTTAAAACAATTTCCAGTGACAACCCCACCTACACAGTGTGGCATTAAGCTATGCAGGAAGAAACAGTTAAAATTTGGATTATATAAAACTGACACAAATTTCTTATCTTCCATTACATAAGCCTAAGTTTTTTCAATTGCAGCAAATTCACAGTGACCACTACTGATGCTAAAATGCCACAGAAAGTAATACAACAACACTCAAGTTCTTCTGTGTCAAACACCAGAGGGTGAAAGTGCATATAGATAGCTGCAAAACAGTAAATTACAATTTTACATAAAATGATACATAGTCCTGTTAGAAGAAATCCTTGGAGGTGAACTTTCTTACTTTTCACTCATAGCCAGCTTTTTAGTATACCAATCTGATCTGCAGGCATTCACTTCAACAGGAGAACAGAGTCCAATCCCTAGCACAAATAACATTGCAAAAAAAAAAAAATAAAAAAATCAGTATTTGCAACATGGTTGTATTTTAGCACAGTCCTCATGCACTTTTATTTCATCACGAATAATATTGTGGGTGAATATAAGAATGAAGGAGGAAAAAAACCCTCTAAATGGATGTCAGTTAATTGAGATACTCTCCCTAAAGAAACAAAGTAAAAATCATGTACAAAGTACGGTAAAAATAGGCATTTTACACCATCTTGTCTGTCTTTAAGAACACTCAATTTAAATAGCAAATGAGCAGCAGCCACTCTTCCTGTCACTGCATTTTCCTCTGCTCACACCATGCTTAGAGATGTCATCCAGTACAACCT